TTCTAAATCAATTATTTTGTGGCTATAAAGTAGGTGAAGTTTTCTAGTTTTTCTGAAATATAATCATATTCCAAGTAAGTTGACAATTGGTTAGGATGACAATCAGGAATGGCCCATCAAAAACAAGATAGCGTCTTATTAACTGTGAGTAAAAGGTGGCAAACTTAGAAATGCAAAATGAATTGTGTGGATAAGATATGAAGAAATCTTAGCTACAACACTACCATCACTGGAAAAAAATATTAGGGTCACAGACTGTACCTTGAATATGTGGGGATCTCTGAAAAAAGCAATAAGATTGTAGTATTATCTAGCCAGTTCAATCAGCCCAGAAAAGGACTGGGTAGAGTTTAGAATATAATTTCTTTCAGTGTACAGATTGGAGAGAGTCCAGAAGAAAGTAACTATAATTATCAGAGCACTGGGAAACAGCCCATGATAAGAGTCTTCAGACTTGGACCTGCATGATATGATAGTTCAGCAGGAAAGGCTTGCTGCCAAGCCAGACAACCTGCGTTCAATCCTCAGAACCCACTCAGTTGAAGGAGGGAGTCTTCCTGTAAATTATACTCTGACCTCTTCACATGTGCCATGACATGCCCATACGTGACTGTGTGTGTGCACACGTAGATAGATGATAGATAGATGGTTTGTGGATGGATGGATAGATAGATAGATAGATAGATAGATAGATAGATAGATAGATAGATAGATAGATAGATAGATAATAGATAGATAGATAGATAGATAGATAGATAGATAGATAGATAGATAGATAGATAGATAGAAAAATAACTACAGAAAATAACTACAGATTTGTGCAGGGTTGTCACAAAGGGAACAATGATCAATTTCTCCTTTCCAACAACCACAAAATGTGAGGACAGACAAGCAATAGTGGCGCACACTTTTATTCCCAGCACTCAGGAGGCAGAGGCAGGTGGATCTCTGTGAGTTCAAGGCCAGCCTGGTCTACAAAACGAGTTCAAGGACAAGCAGAGCTGTTACACAGAGTAACCTTGTCTTGGGGGGCGAAAATTATGAGGACAGATCCGGTGGTGATTCAAGTTGGATTTATGGCTAAAGTTCTTTGTGGGTGTAGAATTAAACTCAAGAAAATATGAAATATTCAAAACAAGTACTTCTAAAGGTGGGAGGACAAACCAAATGAAAATATTTTCAAAAATATTTCAAAAAGAAAATATTTTCAAATAGTCATAAGAATGGAAGAATGCAAGAATAAATGATTTTGAGTATGCTTTTAAAGGAGAATGGAAGAGTAGTAGAGTGTTGAGGTACACAGGAAGCAAGACCTGTAAGGACTACACATTCACATACTTGAGGAAAACAGCCTGTGAAAATTTCTATAGCCATGTTTTCTGTAAATAGATGAGTTCCCCAACCTGTATTTCCTAGTAATGCAATGGCTGTTTTCAACGAACACAGTCCACTAAAGACCATGGCTCTTTGCCACAAGTAGCTGTACTTTACTGGACCCAGCTGATGCTTTATGGGGGTGGCAAGCCCATGTTTGTAGAGCATTGATTCACCTGTTCCCACAGCACTGGTTTTCCTATGGTCTCCTTACGTCACCTAGAGTACCTGGCTCATGCTTATCAACATTTAAGTTTGCAGCTTTGTGTTGAGCAATAAAACCAGATTGTGAGTCAACTTCCTCACTGTCCCAAGCATTATATGTCCAAGAAACTGCCAACGCCTTTATTCAGAGAATGCAGTGAGAATGAAGATAACCAAAGCATCTAGTTTATCCCAGAGATTGGAAAACTGCAATACTTGAGATGCTTTCCAGTTCCAGGATTTTAAAAAACCATTCTTCAAAGCAAAGAAGGAACATATACCTTGCCAATTGCCTCCAAGGAAAGATAAAGGGAAGAAAGCTGTTCTCTAAGATGCCTTAATTCGGTTCTCAGAAAGAACTTGTATTTACCCTTCTTGGAGAGAGAAGAATGAGGTTCAGAGGGAAAACACCTTAACCAACGCTCTGAGCTTACCAGTCAGTTTTGATAGAAACAGAACATTAAGTTGCTAGTTCCCAACTCCAGAGCACTTGCTAAGAAGTTATATTCTTCTTTCTGGCTACAATACAGTCTCTGGTCCTACTCCCTCAAGGAATCTATCTTTTCTAGAAAATATGCATCTCTTTTGGTTTATGCTTTTCTAATCACACTTTTTAAGAGAGGTGCCTGAAGATTCAAAATGTATCATGAATACAAAAACAACAGCATAAACTTGAGAGAGAAGGGAGAAATGAAGCAAGTCAGATAACCTAAATTGGAGACAGGAAAATCGATGCCAGAAGATCCACAAATATACCATGGAACTCAATCAGACATCAAGAAGCTAGATGTTTCCATTCCCCATCTCTTGCGCCAGTACCAGAGAATTAAAGCCCTGGCAGTTGTGGTGTACGTCTTTAATCCCAGCACTCAAAAGGCAGGGGCAGATGGATCTCTTTGAGTTCAAGGCTAGCCTCATCTACAGAGTGAGTTCCAGAACAGCCAGGACTACACAGAGAAACACTGTCTTGGAAAAAAAAGAGATAAACATAAGCCAAAAGCTAGAGACAGTGAGTGGTCACTAACCGGAAGGTGTGAGTCACAAGCATGGTAGTCAATGGTAGTCATTTTTTCCTCTGTGCCCTCTGCTCTCTTTAGTCTAAGCCATATGATATTGAGTGTGTTAGGGTGCAGCTTGTCACTCTTGATACATAGCCAACACTTCCCAGAAATACACATGTTCCTGGAAACTCAAATTCCATACTTAAGAGAGCTCCATAGACTGCTCTGACTCTAACAAGTGATTTTTTTTCTTTCTTCAAACAAACTACTCTCTCTCTCTCTCTCTCTCTCTCTCTCTCTCTCTCTCTCTCTCTCTCATATGTGTGCAAAATACTATTTGTAACAGTTATAAGCACACACAGATTTTAGGGTGTAGTTACTAAATTCTTTTGGAGGAGTAAGGGTAGAAAAGAGATAGCTTCCCAAAATGTATTTATAACAGCCTAGTACTTCATCACAAAATTTTCACAACAAAGGTAGAATCGTGTATATTGTTTCCAAAGACATTACTAATTGGCTACATTTCTATCTCATTAATATTATATGTGAGAATATTTTATCTCATCAATATGGAAAGAAAATTCATATTAAATTTTGATGTAACAGAAATAGTAGCCATAAGAATCATATGTGGTTTTATTGGCCCTGTTTTGAATGAATTAATCCTTGATTATTAAAGAAAGAAGAAATGTATGTCCCATATCATAAAAATTATACAATATGAGATGCAATCATCAAAATGGAGGTCCTGAGGGTTCCTTTTCCCTGTATCCTCAGAAGCTGATCAATCATCAAGGAAACTGGATGAATAAGAACAAGCATACTCAAGTGCATGCATTCAAATGTCACAGTAAAGACCAGTGCTTTGTGAGCTAACACATGGGGAAACGAGTTGAGAATCTGCAGTTCCCTGATCCCACCTCGTCCCAGTGTAAAACTGCCTCGACCTCATGCCAGGTAGTCTGACTTCATATCCTCTGGAAAGCTACAAGACTTAGGCAGGTGTCAAAAATCACATTGTTTTTCTGAAAGTTCCAGTAATTATTTTTAACATGCCACTCTCTCAGCAGACTGAATATAAATTATGAGTATTTTGGCATTTAGTTACACATAATCTCATACTATTCTTTGCTTCTTTAATCTTTTAAAAGTAATTAACTTGTCACAATGAATTATCAAAAAAAAAAAAGTTAAGGTAAAGCCAAAGGGATGGCTACCCTTAAGGAGAACAGAACCAAAGTAAGGTTTTTATTAAAGAGAAATGTACCCATATTTGCAAGCCTACTTAGAAGGATCCAATGAGCATGGGGAATTTGGCGATACATGACAAAGGGTTTCAGTGTACTAAAAGAGCAGAAGAAAGATGAGGTCAGGAG